AAAGAGGAACAAAAAAAATTAGTTGTCAGCTCAGAGCAGCATAACAGACCACTTTTCTGTCCAAAGAACAAGGAGAATGAGAAATGAAGCAGACTGTTCTCTGTTGCTGTAAGAGCTAGGGGAAGGTGGTACTTCAGATTTAGATTGTTACTAACAGTAATAAAACAGATGTTCATCCTCTTTCTTCACAAAGATGTGGGTATAGTCCTTGTTTGACAGAACTGACTCCTTTCTTTACAATAGGTATAGTTCCCTTCTCCTTTCCAGACTCCATCACAGTGAACTTTTGACATGTATTACATGTATCAGCCAGGGGCTGGTGCAAAAGCCAAAGTTCAGGGACAGTTCACAGGTAAAAGTTGTTGTGTTCTCTCAGTAAGGTGAGTCCAGTAAATCGGAGTGCTCACCACACTTCATCCTGGGCTTTGCTAGTAAGCCGCATTGTATTCACATTTCATATGTATCAATCAATAGACTATTAAATAAATATATTGTTAGTTTCTGTATGAACAGTTACTTAATATTAATTGGTTAGATATGTGCTTGAGCATGCTTATTGTTTAACTCTATTAGCCTTTATTAAGACTGCAAAGTTTGGCAGCTCTGACCCACACTTTCTTCTCCTGTCATGCCTAAGCATGTATTCAACTAGTTTTACTCCCTTTAATTGTTACATGTTTCATAATCAGGTGTGTACTAGGGGGAATTATGGATTTATCTTAAAAGTTGTCCTTCAAGTCCTTAAATGCTAGATTTCTCTACGAGAAGTTCTGTGAAACTTCATCCAAGTTTTATAGAACTCAGGAACAAGTCATTGCACATGACCATAGAAGAAAACTGGGGGGAGATGGCAGACGCCAGGATGAAGGGTATGTGGCTAGAATGCCTTGTTTTACATAGCTTAACTAAGCAAAGGCTGAGTGGGAATGTGATACCCACAGGGGAATTTGGGTAAGAAGGAGAAGAAGGGCAAAAAAGGCTTTTAATGCAAAGAATGAAATCATCACAAGCTAGCCTTCCATGTGTTCTGGAGAAGCCGGAGTTCTAAATGAACTGAAGGATGAAGAAGCTGAACTGTCCTTTGGTGTGCGGCTTTTCAGACAGGACTACCTCAGGGCAGATGATTGGAAGGTGGCGACTGTGATACCAAGCTACACAAAGGCTGAATTGAGCTCGTCTTGGCTTGTCAGCAAATAAGAGTGTGAGCACGCCGTGACAGTTCAGTCAAAGGAAGGAGGGGAGAATATATACTAGTGGCTTTTAATTATAGACTTAAATAAAATTGAACCCAAACCTGTGTGGGTTTTGGATTTTTTTTAAATACCTTTGCTATTCCATTGTTTGAACAGAATTTTACGAACAAAAGAAGACTCATCATAGAACATTTGAGTCCTTTGATAATAGGCCCACTTGGTAGTAGTTGTTATTAAGACTCCTGAAATATGTCATTGGAACAGATATTTTGTGTATTCTGATTTATACCCTACTTGTCCTAAAATATGTCTTGCTAGTAAATATACGAAAATGGCTTACCATATAGAAGCTTTCAGCAGAAGCGTTCTGGGTTTTGTTTACTCAAATACTCTATGTTTACAGAATAGTTTGATAGAATAGAATGTCTGCCTTATTCAGCCAAGTAGTCCAAAGTCCCATTGTATTCAGCAGGGGGTTCATTTACTTAAATTCTGCTTAAATTCATAAATGCTTAAATTCATAAATACTTAAATTCCTGTGCTGGATGAAGCGCACTATCCTAAAAGGCTTCAACTGACTGCTATTGAAGTTGATGGGTATTTTGATTAGTTCAAAGACCAAACTGTAGCATTTAAATTTATCCTATGAATTTTGTGGAAGTGCAACAAACTGAACAGTAAGATAGCTTTAAAAGTTTATTCTTAAGCTAACTTACTATTATCTGCTTTTTCAGATAAGAAACAATATCAGACACTATTTTGTTGAATCTCCTGCTGTTAAACTATGTTATGATATTATAACATGGATGGCAACTCAAGTAGCAATAAGTTACACAGTTGTGCCATTTGTACTGCTCTCTGTAAAACCCTCATTCACCTTTTACAGGTAAGCACATTCTACCTGTTTCCTCCTTCTTTTCTTTAACTTGGAATAGAACTATTTTCTATGGCATTTCTCGGGCTATTTTACTGATAATTATAAGACTTATTTGTTAGCTGAGCAAACTGTATTTCTGTTCTAGTGCTTGAACATAGTTTGTGCTGTGTATGAGAAACCATGAAGTGATCCCATTTTCCTGTTGTAATTGACTTATTTTTCCTGGGGCAGGGAAAAAAAAACCACCAACCAAACACAAAACCAGAGGGTATCTTTGAGTTTACTGTATGCCCTTGAACTATTTTATAGCAAGACAAGATAATGACTTACCAAAAGTAACTTTACTAAAAATAGTTGAAAGCAGACTTTTCTTCACTTTACATCTTTGTTACAGCACTGTGTATTGTGGGGGAAGACTTCATTTCTGATTTCCCCCTATTGCTTCTCTTAAAAAGGAAATATTAATGTCTTCCTGACTTAAATGTCTTCTGTGCAAAGTACTGTATGCAAGTAGGTTTTGAAAGTTTATTCCTTAAACATCCTGTAAGAGTCGTCAGAGTTTTATTGAATTATTATTTTTGTTTGTTTTTTAGCTCCTGCTATTTCTGTCTTCATATTGCCAGCATCCTGGTGTTGTTGGTATTTCCATTGAAAAGAACTCAAAAAGGAAGTAAAAGGCATGAAAGCGTCCAGCCCGCGTGGTCCAAAAAATTAGAAGAAGAAAATCTTTTGCAAAAGAACAGTTATTCCACAACAAATAATAGTTTCAGTCAGAAACAAGAAATAACCTGCAGATATCAAGCATTAAAACAGTGATTGAGGAAAAACTATGATGAATATATTTTGTATGTTTTCAAAAACCCATTTTTAGCACCTTTTAAAGGGGTTTGTATTTGTTTGCAAAGATGTTTAGTAAGAAAAGAATGCATTACCTAGGAAAATCACATACAATAGCAAGACTGGAAACAAAGGAAATTAACCCCTCCCATGCCATGTCCCTGTGGGTCACGCCTTATATGAAGATATTACCATTATTTCAATGGGCACTCAGGACTTGCAACGTATGTCCATAGGGTCATATGTGTGCCCTTTGCTGAATGTACGTTGTGTATCCCAAGGCACTGATGGGGTGGAATAAAATTGTGTCAATCTAGGATTATCAAATGGAAATTGTTTTTTCCAAATGAATGACTTGCCTTAAACCCTCTATTTACTGAAGTATCATTTCTAAGTGGGTATTATCAAGTTTGATTTTATGTGGAAAGCATATTTCAAATATAATACCATATGCTGTAAAGAAGATAAAAATAGGAATTGCAAAGTCATTAGAAAGCTTTTGAATCTTTAAAAGGGAATTGCAATAAGTGTCTCAGTATTTGGAGGGTTTTCTTAAAGTATCTCAAGCTATTGCAGTATATTACAGAACTGTAAACATTAGTGATGCCAAATTGTAGTTAGGTTTCTTTGATAAAGAGTATAATTATACATAGCCCTTCTGAATGGATTAAAAAAAAAAAATTAAACCCCAGAAGGCTCACCTTTTCCAGGGCTTGATAGCTCTAATCTAGGTTTCATTACTTTAAAGTACCTAAAAACGATAAAAAACCAACCACTGCCAAGTGGGCTTTGCAGCTAGAGAAGGAAAGGCAGCCATAGGGCACAGAAGACAATGTGCAAGCACCAGGATTTCAATGAAAGTGTGTTTTTACCCTAAAATACCAGAAATACTTGTTCTAGAATAGAACTTTTTTCCCAAAAATTATTTTTAATGCTTAAAGTTGTTCTGAATTTTCAGGCACACAGTAGTTAGTTGATGATCCTTTCAGTATAAAATAGCAAATTACCTTGAGCTGTAGTGCGCAGGTAGTCAAACATGAAATTACGATCATAACCAATTTCTGTATGCTTGATAATTGATGGCCCTTTATCAAAAGAAGTATATGAATTTGAGGAAAAGCTTTTTCTTCAAATTAGAATTTTAGATGCAAAATTCATATCACATTTATGGGTAACATAATGAAAGAAAGAAATCCTTCTGACTGACTGAATTATGGAAGTGTGTCAAGGGAATAATGCAGTGATTATATCTATTCCAGACCATTTATTATGATGATGGTCCCTGCTAGAGTACTACAGTTAAAGGGCTACATTTTAATTGCTTATATTCTGTATTTTCTTATCATTTTTTTAAGTAAACACAAACTGTTTATCCACGTAGGGGTTTCTTAGCTTTAAAACTGACACAAAATACTACTGGAGAAAAATAGTGCAGCTTGTTGATTAATAATCAACAAATGAATGAGAGAAATTTTGTCATAATATTTTGAACCTTAAATTTTTGATCAAATATCCGGCACTAGTAGGGTGAGTATTCTTAGTACCAGAAGTGCAATGATGGTCCTCAGCTTTGGGGATACTACTGTCCAAAAATAGTCACAGTACTTCTGGCTTACTCTCTAAAGAACCAGATCCTAAGTCAGGTCAGAGTTGTTTCCATGCTGTGATAGTTCTGTCTGGCCCTTGGCTCCTTGCCTAAAACTCCAGGAGGACAACATACCTTTTCCGTATACGTAGGTTAGCACTAATTAACCTACAGTTAAAAAGGGGGAACTAAATACGACATGAAAGTGGCTGAGTCTGTTGAGATGAGTAGGGATATTCGTTGTTTCTGTGACACCTGTTTTATCTTTAAAAGAAAATAATCTGACTTCTAAATCCTTGCTTTGATTACCCAAGGAGACCTTCCCTTATGTGGGGTTGTGGTTGTCATATGCCTCTTTGAAATGGCACTATGGCTTTTTCCTGTTGTTTATAAGTAAGGGCGCACTAGTTTCTTTAAGCTTGATTATCCTTATTAGATACAGAATCAGGAAAGACATTTTTCCACTTTCTGTTCTTGAAGGGACTTTTACCTAAAATAACAAACAGAATTGCACATTTCTGGGTGGATGAGTAGAATTAGGGTTGATTCTTTCATCATGTGTTGCTGTTGAATTTAAATTCATCTTGTTGGTGCAGTCTACGTATCTACCCAAACAAGCACCTTTGGATGCCAGTATAACATCTCATGTGCCATTTTTTCCTATTAATGTTCTGGTATTCTTGTTTTCTTGTTTTGGCATGCGTGCCCATACGTGTGATGGAGGCTTACTAATTCTTCATTATGAAATATGAAAAAAGTTGTAAGCACTCCCAGAAAATAAGCAGGTTTAGGATAGCAAAGGCTGCTACTTCAGTGTGAGTCAATTCACAGGTACAGTTCCGTTCAGAACTTTTGTATATGGGGAGGTTAAAACAGCTAAGAAAACACATACGTGCTTTAGTCGGGCACAAGTGGCAAGATACGGGTTTTAAAATTGGACATGACTGGTGTCTGCGTGCAATACGATTACTTTTTTCTTCATGATCTGAACCCCTTAAATAATTGCAACACAAGAAAATCATGACAATTAGTTCTGCACAGAATTTATTGTTAAGTGTCGTGTCCTAGAATTTGCCCTTTAAAGGTCGTTGCTGAATATAAAAGTACTTTGAACCAAAATCTCCTCTTCATGCAAATGAATTATCTTGGGGACTATGGAAAGAGGTTTTCTTTTTTTCAACCGCAGCACTCTGATTTTAGTCCAGCTGGGGTTTTGTTGTTGTTGCTTTGCCTCTGCTTTACTAGTTGCCTGCCTTGCTATCGCATTGGATCCTTTTTATCCATTCAGTCAGAACATCGAGAGCAGCCAGCCCTGATCTTTAGATAATTTTTAGGTTTTACACACATCATTTTATAATACTGAATTTGACAGGATGGTGGTGATTTACTATTGCTCTTGCTGAGAAAAATAGCAGAAAGTAAATTTCCTAGAAATATTTTGGGCATGAAGGAAACATGGTTTTAAGTATTCTTTCGCTTATTAACTAATGTATATCCAAAAGGTAAAAGTGTTTTCTGTATTGCAGATCAGCACATTATGAAAAGTAAATACGACATATCATTCATAATTTTATGGTGGTTTGCAGATATTTGCCTATGTGAACAATTCATTCAGGCACTTAATGAGTTAATGTTAATTAGTAAATGCAGCCACCCTGACAGTAAATATTTGCTTGCTTAACCTTTTTTAACCTTTATGATTCTGTATTAATGAAAGAGATTATAATATATTTAAATAATACTTTCAGTGGTGCCTACTACTGTTGTAATTGGGAAGGCTTTGTTAGCTTTACAGTTACAGATATGCCCTTCTTATTCAGGAAGCTTATTCGTTCATGGTCGTTCCTTAAGTTGACATGTAGACCTGATTTCAAGAATAGGTGACATTTTAAAATACATTACCATGTAAAAATATTGGTATGCATTTCAGTGTGCTCTTGATAACAAATCACACTTTAGTGAGAAGACTTTATGAAGAGATCTTTGTATATTCCCAGCTCTACACTGACTTGTGGTATGAGCTTTACCAGTATAGTATATTATTTATTGGAAGAATTTTACACTTAAGTAACTTGTTCTGTTTGCCCTATGGGAACAAGTAACGTGAATATAAATGCTGTGCTTGTATGACAGGATGCACACTAGGTAGCTGTGCTTCTATTGATGATGGCATTGGTTTGGTTAGTGGTAAAATGTCCTCCGATGCAGAGGAGACCTTTATGAGATCCTCACCTCCTGTCAAATTCGTATCAAAAGTAATTTTAACAGAGTCTGGATTTTTCTCCCGGAAGCTTTGCAAACAAATTGTTGACAATTTGTTTAAATACATGGTCAAATGTGTCCTCATGTTTGCCTGCAAATATCTCGCTGTTGCTTACATGTAAACTTTCGCATGCTCAACTTTATAAGTTGGCCTTGAATGAAATTTAAAAGCACAATTTACAGTAATTTAGACTTTCATTTCCCATATCCTTAAGTCTTTCACTTTGTAATTCTCACTGAATTCTGAAATCAGGTTTAAGAATTTTTCATTTTCAGTGAAAATTTGAAAATATTGAAAAGTGATCAGTGTTAGAAAAACAGATGGAAATAAATTTAAGGATTTAAATACGATGTAGACTCTACATATAAAAAACCATATATTGGTTCTGTGCTGATTCATCACAGCATTTCATTACATGATTAGCCTTTATGTATTTATTTAGGTCCAGTAACAGAAGAGCACTTGAGTATTTTTTAATTTCCTGTTAAAAAAATCAATTGGCTATAAGTACTTAAAGTTCCACGATTATTTAAATGCTATGCTGAATAATTATCTAAGCAGATACCCTGGTGACTTGAGCGTACTCGTTAGATTACCAGATCTGCCTGGATCTAAGCTAGTTGGCACTGTTGGTCTTGATCCTGGTCACAGTGATGGTGGCTGTGAAGAAGTCTCTGGTAAGAACGTGTCCCATCAGTGGCCGGGAGGGTTTGTCACGGAGTTCCTGAGGGTAGCTAACCCTACATGCAGAGCTTGAAAGGTGGTCTACTTGCGACCCAGGCTGCAGCTGCTCTGTGCTAGATCTGCCTGGATTATTGAGGTGTTTGCTGTCTTAACCTAGATGTTTTGCACAAAACACTGTGAAATCCAGGCATCCACAAAGTCACCCTGCAAGGTTACAACTGCAAATATTGCAACAGTTGCTTATTATGGTCAAAACTAAATGAAAAAAAAAAAACTTTATTTCTTGAAACCGTGTTTTGAGATGAGCTTTTTGTACGTTTTTTACAAAACCTAACCACCAACTGTAACAATTTTCATCCCATTAAACATTTAAAACATAATTTTACTCACTTTAGGTATGTAAATGTGCAAAAGCAAATTTTGCCACTTCATCTTCTGTCCATTAGCTGTGTGTCCAGTGACTTAGGCCTGGTTTTGGTTTTAGACATTTTTAGATTGTCTAAACCCATGTACATATCCATATAAACATTGTGTAAACTTTATAAACTGTCAAACTGTAGTTACATATAGTGTGCATAAATATACTTAAAATAGGCCATATCAATATTTACATGAGACTGGTGTTGAGCCCTCCAGTTGTACGCAACCTCTGCTGAGGGCTGTTGGGCTCCATTCTCTGAGTACTAAGCTTTCTGCTTCCTAAACTGAAAATAGTCTTTCCACTTTAAGTGGAAAGTAAAGGGCTTCTTTCGCTCTGTTGCAAAACCAACCCTTACAGGATATTCTGCTGCAGGCTATGAATACAAAATTGGACTTCAGATGTATGAATGAAATCTGTGTTAGGGCCACTTTCAGAGGAAACTTTTTACATAAATAGTGACTCAGTCTGGCACCTTATTCCAAATGAACCTCTTGGCAAAAGACCTCTGCACAATCTTCTTCCTTTCATTCTCTGAGGGAGGAATAGCCCAAGCTGGATTTTCATTTAGGTTTCGCTACAAGATGTCATATGAACAGATAGCTGTGGTCCATGCTGTAGTTGGATTAGGCTTCCAAACTGTGAAGATGTAATCCTAAAAAAAAAAAAAAAAGAGAGAGAAACAGGGTGCCTAGAGGCAGGTAATCAGAATAGCGCAACACTACATATTAAAGGTGCAACAATCTTTTGTCACAATAAGTTAAGCAGTATTTGCCTACACATATTTTGCCTTTCTATGTGTTCATCAGTTCTCTTCACATCTTTTCTTTTACCTTCTTTTGTCCAGTGGTGTTGACTATTTCTATGAAGAATCTGCTGATGTGTCTTACTGTGACAAAGGTGTCAAAATTATAAAATAGTAATTAGGTAGTTACTCTTAAATCCCAGACCTCAGATGTGTTCTAGATTGGT